GTGGCATACAGACACTTCACTAACTTGTCACACTGTAATTATAGTTTACACTGCTTGCTAATTGCCTTTACAATGCCACAGCATTATGGTTCATCGCAGGCATAATTGGGTCGATGTTTTGCCTGGGACCTCTTAACACATCTGCACTGTTGCTATTGTGGCTGCCTCCTCCCAACTCAGCTCCCTCTTCTTCTCAGCCACTTCCCCTTTTTGCTCCCCCATCGCTGAAACCCATTCGCTCACCCTAAAACCTCTCTCTTAAACCTCTCCCTTCCCCTATCTCACAACACACACATGGCTCGTTATGAGTCCCCACGGGCCGGGCCTCGTGCCGCAGGGTTCCGGCATAGCAGGGATCGGTTGCCGTGCTGGCTCCAGACTAGGAGCTGGTGGAGGTGATAATTGAGAAAGCTCTGGGCACCGCGCTACGAACACCGCGTGCATGCCACGCTGCCGGAGTTAGCTCGCAAATACCAAGCGCTAAAATAGTCCTCCACATGAGCAGCCAACAGAGCAATGAAAGTGCCTTCATTGGTATCGTTTCATTCCCCATGTCACAGTGAAAGTGTAGTTGTTTTATTTCCATGCATTTATTCATTGATTAATATCGATTCCTAATATCAGGATGGATGCATAAAACTGGTTGTGCAATAGTTTTCCACAATCGTATGTGTTGTCGGTAATCGGCCAACTGCATTGCTGCAGCCACAACATGTGCTGCTATTTTACACAATGTAAAAAAAAACAGATTCTTGAATCGGATTGTGGCCCTGAATTGTGACAATCGAACAGCATGGGGAAGGCGGCAGAATTGTTCCACCCCTAATTCCCGGAAAGTTTAGTTTTTCGTTTTCATAAATTATGTTAATGCTCATGTTACATAAGCCTTTACAATTGAAACAGCTCCAAATGCCAAAACGTACTAAATATGAACACAGCGTTTGTCAGCTTGTTCGGTTGGAGCAAAGTCGAGTTGTTTTCCTGCTGAGAAATAATAAAGAAAAATATGGCCTTGGTGCCTAAAAATAATCTGGCTCGCATCAATGGTCTCATTATAAGGACCCTAATTGTCAGCACATGAACCCATGCTTTCACACACCACGACCTGTGAACCGCCCAGAAAACAACACCTCGTGGCCAAGTGAAAGAATAACTTAACTTACTGTATTATTATGCTTACTCAGTAACAAAAAATAAACGGAAAAGCTATTCATGGGTCATCATCCACGTTAAATTAACCAAATCACATACACGTGTGTAAGACACGCATGTCTTGCTTGCAAAGTGTCTCATGTCATTCCAATCGCTTTCACCTTGTATAATAAGAATTAAAAAACACACTTAAGTAGATTATCCTTGGTGTCTATTGGCAGCATAATTTTTACAGACTTACAAAACGGCCTTTAAAAAACACATTCCTTCATTTCTCAAATGGATAAATACCTGACGAATATGTTGAATAACAGGTACAGGTAATAATGTACCGCACTTTGTTAATCTACTGCTGGATGAAGGCTTTCCCCCACTCGGCGTCGGCGATAGGGGTGGGTTTGGCCATCACCATACTCGTGAGTGGGTTGGTGAAAGTGGAGAGCATAGAACCACAGTACAACAATTGATTTTATTGCACTGCCCTTTGTTGCCCACCGAGTATCACAATCCCGCAAGTGCAGATGACAACCTCGTTGGAATGGTGATCACCCATCAAAACACATTCCAGGCTCAAACTCTCCTTAGCCTCTGAGATCGGACAAGATGGGGGCACATTCCGCAAGCTTTTTTTTTATGTAATCTCCTTTAAATGCATCCCATCCACATTTCCGCTGCTCAGCAGTATCTGTCCAATAAACGGTAATAAACTTGGACTAGCTTCCACTTCACGGTTATTCATCAGCAAGCTGTGGCCTTGTAAATATCAATACCACCGCGTGTCCGGCGTCGCATGTTGCAGTGACCACCCGTGAGCGAGCCCCTACGCGGGGCCATGTTGGATACTGCAGGATAAGCATCGCTGCGGAAATCTGCGTCCTGCCATTGCTATCGGGTGAATCACCAGCAGATACGCGTTTGCGGTTGTGTCATGTTTCCTTTGGTCGTATAACTCCCTGGCGCAGGGAGCGGCGGGCTTGCCATTTTATTTGTTGAAAAAATAAAAAAATCCCTCCTGCACGAATTGGTATCGTGGGCTGCAGCCAAAGGACACCGCTGTGCATTTGCGAGCGAGCCTGCTGTCTGTACCGGGAGCCAGCAGGCACACTCACAAATCCTGGCGGGGCACATCATGCCAAAGAAATCACGAAAAGTTATATAAATAAATAAACAACCTCTAAATTACGAGTGGAGATAATCCAAAAAATGTAATTCATCGTGGCACAGGTTACGTGTGTGGACGTTACAATTGTCATGGCGTGACGTAAATTGAAGGGAAGCCAAACAGACGCGACATATGCTTAATAATGTATACTCTACATGTAGTGGTCGTTGCACAATTGATATATGATATATAGATGAAGATGGGTATCTTCCAGTCCTGATACACACACACACAAGACGATGACTTCTGGGGCAAGTGTTGTTAGCAAGTGGCCTATATGAAGACCAACATACCACACAAAAGGGTGGTGTTGCCAGCCCCATGCCTGGCCGCCTTTGTCTTTCAAGAGCTGATGTTTACACACCGCACAAGCTTGTCATGTTAACGCTTCGTAGACCTAGAGGATGCCCAATGCCGGTTCAAATACCGCTTGCTAATGATGTTAACCACGGGCAATAATGGTACTTGGGTCACCCAGTTGGTAGCACAGAGAGCCAACCCCTGCACCAAAGACAAAGATCCCCCCTATAGTCTTAGCAGACAGTGGAGACAAGTGCTGTTAGCGCGCACCCATGAAGGCCGGCACGATACACCAGGGGGTGGGTGGCCAGCACCACGCCCGACCGCCCTTTGTCTCCCTAGTGGCAATGTTTACACACCACACCAGGCACTTATTTGAGGCTGAGTCGACCTAGGGGAGGCTCAGGACCGGTTAAGATAATCGTCACCGGTGTTGGCCATTAGCGGGAATCGAACTCGGGTCGCCGGGTTCGTAGCCCAGCGCGCTAACCGCGACACCACCGCTCCCCCACAAACCCCTGCACCAAAGATATGCATACAAACATTTGCACCCGTGAATGAACAATTATATGGCCATGTCATCATCTGCAATGACTCACTCGCCGAATATATTGCCCTGAGTGCGTTTGCATCTACGCACACGAGCAAGCGTACGTGCACACAGTATATATTTCGAGCCAACTGCTTGATTGTTGCCATGCAGATTAAAAACGAGTGGCCACAAGATCAGATTTTTCCATGTCCACGATGATGAAATACCCACACATTTTTTTCCAGCACTATGGGTCAACGTGGGCTCCTTTGCCATCTTATCGGAATGGGGAATCTGATTTAATCTTGGAAGGGTGTACACGAGGTTTGGCTCGGTGGGGACGAGGGGCGGTGGGGGGGCGAGAGTGGGAATTGATGAACTCCAGCCCAATCAGCAGGCATGTTGGAGCGAGGTCGCACCTGTCTAAGCCGTTTCGTCAGGATCCAGGATTCATTTAAATTTAAGCGCACGCATGTACGCACGCACGTACATACGCAAGCACGCACGCACGTACATACGCAAGCACCCATATCGTTGCACGACCGCCACACAGACGGCTGGCAGCCAGAAATGGAATAAATGAGGGTTTTACGGGATTGTTTTTTTTTTACACAAAGAATGGTAATAAAAATGGGCGGGAGGAGTGCAAGGGGAGTGATGCACGGAAAAAAGGGAGTGAAAATTCCCCCTCCCCTCCCCCCCTCAACACATCATAGAGATTGCAATCCTCAAGAGACCCACGGACCCATTACCAACTCACTCCCTCCCTCCCTCCCTCACTTTCCCCCAATCCCGCACACACACACACATCTCGCCATCTCATGGGGCCAAGCAACTAGGAATCTGCTGCCAGAAGCAAGCTTCTGTGTTTGCCCCAGTTGGGCTTGGCAGCGGTCCATAGGAACTGAAGAGATTTTGAGGTCCAAACAGCCCTCCTCCTCCTCCTCGAAGGCCAAGCAGAGCAGGCCCTGCCCTGTCCACAGCCTCCCCTGCCCCGCGGCCTTCCCTTCCCCTGGCTCGCCATCACCGCGCTATGTGGCCACCCTGCTGGCTGCTTGCCGGCGCGCGCCAAACGGACTGGGCAGCCCCTCCTGCCAGGAGGAAGCCTAACAAAGTGGCTGCCACTCAGGGTAAGCAGTTGGCTGTCAGGGAGTGCGGGAGGGGGAAGAAGGGGCGGGCAGTCCAATTGGTGGGGGGGGGGGGGTATTAGGGGAGCCAGGAGGAGAAAGAGGGGGATGGGAGGTTCAGAAGGGAGGGGGGGGGGATTGGAGGTTGGGAAGGGAAGCAGATCAAGCGGGAGGCTATGGGTCTGGGGGAGGTGTGTCTAGGTTCGCAGTGGGTCAATATGGGAGCACCTGAATTTTGTGGTTGGGGGGGGGGTGGGGTACGGATTTAATAATTGGTGGAGTGCGAGTGGCGAAGGCTGCGTTCCTCCTCCCAGCCATCCGTCTGAAGGCTCGCCAGAAGGGCAAATTATAACCACGCTCTCGGGAGCAATTCACTTCCAAAAGAGCTCCCTCCACCTCACAACCCAGCCGCACCACCAGTCAGCTCCCCCCCCCAAACCAATTCCCTCCCGACGCTTTGCCGTGGATGTGCATGCGCATGTAGCGTGTGTGTATGTGCGTGTAAGTATGCGCGCATGTGCATGCGTGCGGCAAGGACGCAGAATGTTTGGGAAAGCTTTTCCTGCCCTTGTTGGAGGTTTGTTTCCTTCTTATTTCCTCCGGCTTCAAAAGCAAATTCAAACAATCCCAGCTTCCTTCTGTGTCGGCCAACAAAGCTAATTGTACCGCGTTGTAGGAATGCAAGCCGTCTTGTGTGTGTGTGTGATCAATCCACGTGGGTACTCACCGAGCTGCGTTCTCTCTCTGATGCCAGGTAAATCAGCAGCAGCAGCATTGGCAAGAGATAAAAAACACACAGGAACACAAGAAGCGGGCGTTACATTATAAATATTTTCACGTTCCCCTGCTGTTAACATTCAACATCGCTTGCCCATTGTACAGTTTAAACGCCCATCAGGGACGGGACGTGAGAGTGTTATGGGAATAACTGCGAGGTGTTTTAAGATTTGATAAAAGCCGCACACTTTGTGGATTCAGCCAACATCCGGTCCTTTCCCTCTGATGTGTTTTAGAGTTGTACCACGTGTTGTTCAACAGTGTCCGACGTTTCACTCAATGTGCTGGTAGCTTACCCGAACAACACGTGGCACAAACCCAAAAACACATCAGAGCACTATAAAGCGTAACTGTGAAAACCTACATAGCAGTCAACTCAACCTGTTCACCGATAACATCGTGTGTCCTTAAAAAAATATATATAATAGGTGACGTTTTGGGCAATGGCCCTTCTTCATAGTGCAAGAATGATGTTCAGTTTTTTTTTCATTTTAAGGCCAGTGTTATTGATGAATGTTAATGATTGTGCACCACTGCCAAACACAGCACGACGAAAACCATTTGTTCAACCACGCGGCGCAGTGTCCGGTCACGTCCTCCACGCCCGTCAGCGTCCTCCGCATGTCACGCCCTCGGCTCACCCCGGCCGAAGCCGAGCTCCCTCTCACCTCTGTGGTCGACCTCGTGGTTCTTGTCGTCCTTGAGTGCTTGCAGGTGGGCGGCGGCGGCGGCGGCGGCCGCCTGGCTCCCGAGCGCGCTGGACAGAGCCAGCAGCCCCGCCGCGTTAGCCGCACTACTGCCCGGCATCGGGGGCAGCCCGGCGCCGGGCAGGCCGGCAGCGTGCGGGGGAAGCGGCACCGGAGGAGCGTGCGCGTGGGACAGGTGCTGCGCCTGCAGCTGGTGCTGCTCGCCGGGAAGAACGAGGTGGGGAGCGGAGGTGATTTTCGGCCACGAGGTTCGTTGAAGGGGTGCGGCCGAGTCGTTCGTCCGTCCGTGCGCAGATGCGCAGACGTGTGTTGGTTGGAGGGTGCGTGCATGTATTTATGGTGCGTGTTGCGTGCATGCATTTTTGTGTTTGTGTGGTTGAGGGTGACCACAAGCATGTTGTGTTTGTGGTTGAAATTTTTTCGCATGCGTGCAGTGGTATTTGCATTCCGGCAAGGGGGAAGGGGAGACAGAAGGCAAGACATTAATTTACAAAACTCTGCTACCAATAGATAAATTAATAAAGTGTATGTAATGAACATGTGGGAGCTGTGTTCACGCCATGCACTGCACGCCCGCTGTAATATTGCAATATTAGAGCAGGTTATAAAGGAGCGTTCAATAAAACTTTGCAATGTAAAGTTCATATAAATTATAATGCTGATAAAAATTAAATGTGTGCCCTATTTAAATTCAGTAATACATACCACATGAATAGCCCTATTTTATGAAAAGCAGTATCTTTGAGAGCAATAAAGTCACATGCCCTTGGAGACCAGAATGGTGGCGTTGATCCCTTACGAATTAAACGGAGTAAACCTGATCGCTGCTCACTCAATGATTTTTCTACATCAAGGCACCCAGATGCCGACAAATACAGGTTTATTTCTAAACGGGAGTCATTGTTATTATGATGATTATTTGGAGTGGAGCAGCAGCGGCAATGGTTAGTGCAGAGCACTGTGAACCCTGTGCCCCGTGTTCAATTCCCAGTCACAGCTGACAATTTTGGAGTTATTGAACCGGTCCTGGCAGCCCCCCCCCCCTACCCATCCCCCACCCACCTAACCCTTCACAAACGCGCATTGACTGGCGAGATGAAGTATGTTCAAATAACCTCCAAAGGGGCTATCTATGTACGTGCATTCCCACCACCAATTTTTCTCTTCCCTTCCTCTCGCGATTTCTCACCAAGTAACACCACTCCCGTTCAATTTGCCCTGCAGCGATTTTCTCCACTTTGCCACAAATCAATATTCAGGTGCCACACCGTTTGTGGATGGTTTTCTCCCAAAACATCGGGTAGCCGAGTTGTATTTTCAAAACCAGTACAAGCTTTTCCTCGTCCGTCCGTATGAATATAGCCCTGGGTGCACTGATCCTTAAGGTCCACTGTTCATCAGATTAAATCTTATTCAGTTTCACTTGCGATGTCAGGTTGCGCCACGTGGTGTTCGACATGATGGGAGTTTCTTTGTTCCCAAACAAGTTCCCATCACGTGGAGCGATGTATGGGGCATCGTGCCGAACAACACACAGCACAACCCGAAAACGCATCGGAGAGATACAAGCAAACGCATCTTAGTTGCTGACGTATTTCTCTTGTTTATCACCTTATTTCTCACCCCCCATCCCCCCTCCACCATAGTTCGCTTATCCTAAGTGCATCCCCTGCTCTGAAAAGCACCACTTGTGTGCTGTGAGTGTTCAGAGAAGGGAACCCAACAGCAGCCGCGCACGCGCGCCAGCTGCCTCACATGTGCGCATTGGCGCACGGGAAAGTGGGGGGGGGGGGAGTAAAAGACTAAACACATTCTGGCTTCCCACATCAAAATGAAGCCCTCCAGACGCGCACACACAAATGGAGTGGGGCGTCTACAAAAACCAGGAGCCTGACCGATGTTGGTGGCCATTCGAAAACCTCATCCTCTTCCGCTCCCATTAGTATTGTACAGTTGTAAAATGAAACATTAAGCAGAAGCAGAACTGGTTTTCAAATGCATTTAACGGAGCAATCTCTATTAACTTTAGCAATGACCGTTTGATGATTTGCATGCCTGAACATTTTCCAGCTTTTTTTTCTTTCAAGTGGTGTATTTTTTTTGGATGCATATTAAGTGAAATTTACAGGGCACAGTTGGTCAAGTGTAGGCAATAGGCCGAGGCGCTGGCTCTTATTTTCAGCTTTGTAACGCGTGCCGAGAAGATGGCGTGACTGGGAAGACGAGGACCGGCCCCACCACTACCAACACCACCACCGCTAGTTCATTTGCGTCTCCCATGCTCAGTGAGACACCATCTTACAGCCAATCGGCTCCAGGAGCAAGCTAAAACATACCGATGCACCCCAGCCCCACGCCTCCTCCAAAAGGAGAAGAATTTATGGACACAAAAAAATGCATCTGGCTGCTGCTTTCTTCTCATGGGCTTGGAGTTGGGTGCGTGCAGCCGATTATGCAATTAGTAATGTATGCAAAAATACACGAGAGGGTTTTACGGGTGCGATAAGCACCTGTGTATGCTTGCCCGGGGCAGATCATGTGTTCCGACTTAGGTTAGGCATTTAGGGCAGCCGCCACAGGCTTCTCAAACCCCCCACTTACTGAGGCGACCGGCTGGCAGATAACTGCTGTTGTGTTATTTTGAGGTCTGACAATGGGTCTTGAAAATGTTGCCGACCTGTAAAATTACTAGGGCTCCAAACAAGGCGGCTCTTTTTATTATTATTATTTAAAGGCTGCTGCTGAGCACAAAAAGAAGCAGAAGGTGCTCGCCTCAGACATTATATTTTTTTCCCAAACACGTTTCAACTGCCGGGCGAGCGGGCCTGTGGTTCACACACAGCCTGTGCAGTCTTCATCTGAGGTTCTTAGGTTCCTGCCCAGGGCATTGACCGCCATTATAAAGTTAAACAAATTATGATTTGCTGCTGCTGCATTAGCAGTGGTGCACAAGCATAATTAATACGAAAACTCACATTCATCAACAGCACCGCATGAAAAGAAAACATAACATTCGTAGAAAAGGTGATGTTTCGGGCAATGACCTTTCTTTCGCAGCAAATAAAATGCAGTGTTAAAGCCAATGTTGGCAAATCACAGTCACAATTATTATGCGACTAGACTCTTGGAATCCAATCAAACAAATCCATTGAGATCACTTGACTGGCTTCACCCTCATGCAAAGTTAAAGAACATATTGGGTGGATACAATGCCCTTGAATTAATACATTCATTGTAACTTATGGTAGCCGATGGCGACATCAATGTTATCATCAGAGCAAATCCGCCTGGTTATTTTATTTTATATATACACGACCGTCACATTTACACGAGTGTATATTAAGCCAGGTGCATAGATATTTCGCACTCCGTAGCTTAGAAATGACCACGTAATAATACGTGCAACATTTCCATGGCATTTTCTCAAGCCTCCGTTGAATAAAAGGGGATCCTTTTCACTGGGCTCTTATCTAGTTTATAAACGCATCATATGAATGAACGATGATGTACAAACACATATTGTGGCACAACACTGAGCTGCTACATCAGTCAGGGTTATGGCTTTTTAAATCCTTTATATTAAGTTCACTTGCTTGCTTGCGCGCTTACAACTGTGCAAGTCTTTCGGTCGCTTTTTAACCCACTTCCCGTGATCCAATCGAGCTGACATTTTGCACACAGACTCGTTGTGCGCGACAATTTATTTTCGAGAAAATTTTTTTCCAAAATGTTCCACTTTTTAGGAAAACATTTTTTCATATTTAATTTAAAATACCAATGTGATAAAAATGAAACTCTTACTCAAGAAAAACAGAAATGAATAATAAAATAAAACCGATGCCACGCATATAAAGGATTTATAGTAAAAAACTTTGTTTTTACGGATTAATTTTTAAGGGCTAAGCTGCACGAACTGGCCTGAGTTAACAACCAATTAAAGGTTTAGTTGCACAAGTTCATCGTATTGCATTAATTCATCCAGGTTGTAATGAAGTTATAATTACTGGGAGATTTACACCGACTTTATAACCCTCAAAGGAACACAAAATGTGAGCTCAGGAATAAAGTTAAGAATAAATGTTTCGAGTTTTAAGCAACCTGCATATACGCTGATAAAACAAGAGAGAGAAATGAAAATTCTAATTAATAAAAAAATTATCAATTTCGATTTAAAGCTTTCGTGACTGCAGGGATTCATCTTCTTGGTTCTTTCGGTAAAGTCACGTAGAATGGAAATAATAAAATAATAAAAATAAAACATTTTTTTTATGTTATGTTTTTTTTCTTTTATTATTTCCCTTTTACGTGACTTTACCGAAAGAACCAAGAAGAAAAACATCATAATCGGAGGCACTTTCAAAAATGAACAGTCTTGTTGGTAAAGGCGTCAACAAATGTGGCCCCCTGCTATTACCGGTGCAACGTTACTAATAATAATTACAAAATATTTAGACCAAAAAAAACTCCCAATGTATATACTAGGGCAAGAAAAAATCCCCCCACGACCCAGGTAAATCTACGATGAAGAATACAGTGCGTGGGTTGGGGCGTTGGCACAAGGTAGGGTTGAGGATCTGTGAAGCGTGGTAATTATGCTAACGAGCCCGCCTGCATCACCGCCCTCGGGGAGGAGGATCTAAGAAGATGTCAGGACGGGGAACAGCTAGCGACTATTATCCGGCACCAGTGCGTCTGGCGAGATAGCATCGGCCCTGGCCAGAAGAGCCCTGTAGCGTTTATGGAGGGGGGGGGCCCACTGCTGAAAACTCAATCCCCCTCTTCTAAATTCACATTACCATCGTCATTATTATTAGCTAAGGCTAATCCACTGCTGGATGAAGGCCTCTCCCAATCTGCCGCCACCTCTCTCAATCCTGCGACGCAATAATCCACCTTGAAACCTGCACGCAAACTAATTTTCCAAATTATTACCGTTCACGTAAAAAACTGTCTGCAATCGTTGGAGGGAGCTTTGAAACATTAACAGAATTAATCGACGTGCGCCGCAGCCTTCCCTCACATAGGGGGTCAGAGCTAGAGTAGAAAGACAGACAAATGCTGATATCGTTACTCATTCTGGTTTAGCATTTAGCATGTTTCACGTAAATTTTATCATTGACTATTTTTTTCACACACCCCCCCCCCCTCAAAGTGTTTCTATGTCCCCCACCCCCCTTCTTACCCCTTTAAACAAGG